GCTTTAAAAAGTCTTTCCTGTGACTTTTGCTCTGTGAGTCAAACACCAGCCGTTGGTTCAACAGAGGCTATACGCCTTACTGGGGTCACATGATCTTAAGATCTGCACTTTAAATAAAGGTTTTATATAAAATACAGTTTATTTCCTGCAGCTCTGTGAGGTTACAGTGGTTTACACTGGCTTTATGACTTACATCAGAACATCAGAGCCCGCTAACACCGCCACTGGATATATTTATAATACAATATAAACGCCGCTGTTGTGTGAGTCCACTCTCAGATTCTGACTGTAAAATCCTTCATCTCATACATCAGATTTTCACAGGCAACACTTTAACAACTCGGAGTGACAGAAAGAAATACAGCCGTAAAATAATATATGACAGAAAATTAGCAGTGTGTGATTTCACAGGCCTGCGGCTTGTTCTCAAAATGGGCAGCAACACCCAGAGCTGGCTTTCCTCAGTCCTCTGAAAACTTTAAAACGAGCTGTCTACTCAGCAGCAAGCCCGCCTCGCTGAGGGTTTTCAATTTCATTTTTATGGAATTTGATTTCTGTCAGGCTGTAATACGTCACCCGTATTGTCCACACCATCGGTTCTGCGACAGCTTTATAAACTGTTATTTAAGCTACACTCGGCTCCTGTATTAGGCCGTGAAAAATACAATACAGATTGGAACTGGAGTCTTGAAAGTGCACCGCGCTGATGGTTAAGCGGGACGCACGGAGCACCAAACAAAACTGGCAAAGTTGCTCGCCGAGGCTGAGTTTTTCCATACGTTTACATCCAGAGGCGGCAAGCACATCCCCGGGTTCAGCACGATGCCACAGTGTGTAGCTAACTGTCCACATCATCTGACCTGTCATCAAGTCAGGTGATAGTTTGTGCCACTTTGTAAAAAGCAGGACTTTAAATTAGCTCAGTGTTGGTGTTCTCGCACAAAGAGACAAATGGTGTTCAAACATATTTCCCCCACAGATGATGAATAAACCTTCGACAGCAGCTGGATCCACCAGCCACCAATCAGGCTTTCACAAAGCTGTGGGGGGTTATGGAGCGATAAATGGGAAGCTGAAGCTGGAAGCAACACCAACGAAGAAGTAAAGTCAGGAGAAATGATCACAAACAGGTTCAAAATGTGTCGGTTAAAATAATGAAAGCAGCTCAAAACACCCAGATGACAGCTGCCTGGGATGTCCTTCAGACACGCGACCATAATCAGGCTGGTTATTCACACCGACCACGTGGTTATGCCCAGAGGAATCTGAATACCACTGCTTTATCAGATTATTTCCAGTTTACTGTGTTTTTCTGTGAACAGTGTAGGTTTTCATTCCAAATGTTTATGAGTATGTGCTATAAATAAACTGTGTGTGTCCTCGTCAGTCCAAGTGCAGCTTCACCCTAACACGCTCACCTAAAGCATCAAACTTTGGAAACAGAAACAAAAACATGTCCTTCAGTGATAAGAGTTGAATGAAGTCACACAGTCAAGCTTAACTTTAATTCCAGGCTGATCAGCTGATCGCAGTGCCAGCTGATACCCTTCTACTATCTTACTGATGAATCTAATAAAGTCTCCTATTAACCTGCAGTAACGTCTCCACGGCTGCCTTCAGTCATGCTGGTTTGCAGCCCGCTATCATTCTCACTGGTGCTCGCTCAGGTCTGTGCAGAGGTCGCGCTGCTGTTTCTTAATCTTTTCCACATGCACGCATGAAACTTTTTTTTTTTTTGGCAGTAATTTAACCCGTTATTGTACTAAATTCAGTAACGCCGTTACAGGTACAAATGTGCTGCTGTTTGCATTGCAAATCTTTAATGATCTGCATGAAGGAAGAGCAGGAAAAATCAAAGGCGCCTTTTTTTCTGCACACTTGTGCCTGAATCAGCCGACTCCAGTTCAAGTGGAGGGAAGGAAGCTGGATAGTGTAGTGGTAAGACTACACACCTTCGGAACGGGAGTCACAAGCTTGATTCCCACCCGGTCTCCAGTAAGGGTCCTGGCTAGACCCCCCACGCAAAAATACAAAACCCCAACCCCCGCAGCTATGTCTGCAGCCTGTCTGCAGCTTGGACACAAGAATTTCACTACACGTTGTACTCTGTATAATTGTCCATGTGACAAATAAAGGTTGTTTGTTTGTTAAAGGAAAGGGGGCATGGTTCTCAAAGCGTGGTCTGCAGGCCTGTAAGCGAATGAAGAAACTGCTGCTCAGTTTTTACTGCAAAGCGCAGTTTAACATCAAAGCAGCATTTCTTTAAAATATTACGAGTTCTGTGGTCAAGATTAAAGTATAACAAGGGCCACTGCTACAAACTGGACGTGCACATGCAAATGCGTCTCAATATCAGCCTGTCGGGTCAGGCGTGCAGCATCGGCTCTCCTGTGGTCCTGCTTCAGCATGTGTGCAGTTTTTGCCTTATTTGCACTCAGTCTGGAGAACACCTGGATGTCCACCAACCAAAGCGATTTAAACAAGGCACATGTCAGACAGCACTGATATTAATATTGAAATAAATGGCGAGTGAAGAGAAAGCCACCATTATCACCATGACATCAGTAACAACTTGTGCCAAACGTGTAAGACGGCCGTACGCTGCGGTTTGCTCACAGACCTACAGTGCCTCCTCTGAACCGCCCAGATAAGTTGCTGAGTCCTTAAGGAGGGGCTTCCTTACCTCCCTGAGAGGGCCTGTCTTCTTATCTGGCACCATCTCCTGTCTGGAAGCTCTACACTACCCTTATATTATCACCATCCACCTGCATGACAGCCAAGCATCACTGAGTGCACAGGAGAAAAGGAGGAGGCAGATGGCCTTCCACTGATAAAGACCACATTGTTTCCTCTGGTGTTACAGTGGGAAGAGCTCAGGACCTGCGCATCACTTTATTATGACGCATTAGCTTAATGATTTTAAGGGAAATGCATATTTCACCTCAGTCATGAGTGAGGCGTTAAGAAGTGCCAACAAAACATAAAAACAGAACAGACGAAAACAAACTGGCAAAAAGCAGGTGCAGAAATATAAAAAATAACAAAGTTTGACTTGAAACTTGTTGTTCGTAACTTTCATGGATAGAATTTCCAGGCGCAGCAAAGTGTGGCCGGCGGTTTCTGGCTTGGTGGCCTCGGGATCACCTCTGTGCCTCTGGGCTTTATCAGGAAGTGACCTCTCGCTTAAACTGGAGGGTTTGCAGCCAAGCGTGAAGCAGCTGGCGTGAAACAGCTGGCAAGAAAAGTCAGAGGCCACAAAATGGTGTGTTAGGGAGGAGTTCAAGTATCTCTGGGTCGGGTTCACAAGTGGGTGGAGAGAGGAGCAGGAGTCAGCGGGGATCTGAACGCTGTACCAATCTTTACGGTGAAGAGAGCTGAGCGTGAAATCAAAGCTGTCGATTTACTGCTCCGTCTACGTTCCCGCCCTCGCCTACGATCGTGGATGCAAGCAGTGGTACCAAACAAACATTTGTGGTTGTTTGTTTCTTTTGTACACTTGAACACTACAGTGACCCTCAATGAGACGACAGTGCCAGCAGGGGCCCACAGCTCATTTAAGTGTGAACCCTTTTCCATCCAGCAGTAGTTGTAGTTCGTCGCCTGAGAGGGACTCAGAGTAAAGCTGCTACTCTTCTATAAGGACACCAGATGAGGTGGTTTGGGCATTGTAGGAATCATAGTCCTACCAGTAGGAGACCACAGGAAGACCTCGGGCACACTGGTCAGATTATGTTTCTCAGCCAGCTTGGTGACACCTCAGCGCTCGAGGAGGTCCCTGCTTAGACTGCTGCCTCTCAGATCAGCAGCAGAATATGGATGCATGGCTGAAAACCAGTGTTTAAATCAAAAAATGTATATGAGCCGCCAAGATTATTCTGACCGTGAGCCCACGACTACAGCAACAAGGTGAACTGTGCAGATTTTTCTCCTGTTACACACTTTGTCAGGAGTTTCCTGCCTCACAGTGAAGAAAACCATTTATTTCTTAGTTCTGGAAGTTTCATAGTAGATCCATCCACAGTTAATGATGATTCGCCTTTGCCATCACCTCTGTCAGCATCAACAGATTTATAGATGTGCATAGTGTCGTTTATGCACTCACAATGAGATGTTGTATTTATAAAGGGACACCTTGAGAAAAACCCCAACGAATGAAAAGTTAAAGGCTGTTGGGCTTGCATTGACTCGGGCGTGCTCTCTGCATCGTGCAGAAACAGGACAGCGATAACTGCTTTGCATCAAATATGGAGACAAAATCTAAAGTGAGCAACTCAAGGACTCGCTTCAGTTTGGGATACTAAAATCTGAATGCAGCTCACTGAACTGGAGGTTTAGGACGGGTAAAGGAGACACACAACAGTTTCCTTCTTTCTTTCTCTTTAACCAAATGTTAAAATCAGGCAATGAACTATTTCATCCCACCTTTCTACTTACAGATATTATTTATTGAGTGTTTGCTGCTCTAAAACTCATCTTCATTAAATCAGCTCCTCGTGCAAATACAAAAAAATCTGCCTCTGATATTGAATAACCACAGCACGTAGCCCTCTCAACCTGACAACTTCACTGAAAATATCATAAATCACAAAAGCGGATGGCCAAATTATGCTAAAGAGCGCTAACTGATTAGCATTAATGTGCTGGCTTTCTCCCTCGGGCGCTGAGGCATAGCGGTGTGTTCCTCTGCCGACAGACAATACCATTAACCTTTGCAATTCAGGCTCTGCTGTGCGCGGGCAGGATCGCGGAGGCAGTGACCCCAAAAGTAGACGTTGCTACTGGGGCAACTGAGAGAGAAGGAGGGGGCGGAGAGAGGGGTACAAATGTTCTTCATAAAAACACAAACGCAGGAGAGTTATAGATCTAATCTGCTCCATGCATAAGCTTACTGTGTGTGTGTGTGTGTGTGTGTGTGTGTGTGTGTGTGTGTGGTGTGTGTGTGTGTGTGTGTGTGTGTGTGTGTGTGTGTGTGTGTGTGTGTCCTGCTCTCTCTTTTACCATCAGCGCTGACTTTTTTCAATTGAATTGTGACCTGGGTGTAACCACGTATACGGTTATCTGAGCACAGGACACACTGATGCATCACTGACGGAGCTCGGTTACATTTCCTGAACACAGACGTCGAACCTTCTCCATCAGGACACGTTCGAGTTCCTCATCAGTCTCATACATGAACACTGGCCCTCATTTAGTCCTTTAAACTGTTCTGACAGACATCGTTCATCAGGCGGCTTCTGTTAGAAACCAGCTGGGGCTGTTTTGAAATGTAATGTGATTACAATAAGCAAACATACAGCAACATCAGAGCTTTTATTTCTATTTTGTTCTGAAATCTGTTCACTTTTCTTCACTTTCCACAGCAGGTTTGCTTGTTTTGGTTTACTCGTTAAGAGCTTTGGGTTCAGCTTTGTTAGTTTCAGTGTTGGGTTCAACGTTTTTAGTCGTGGAGTAAATTTCCACTAATCAACCGAACAACTACTTTCCTCAGTTTATATACACCAACTTATTGGAAGTTACACGTCTACTTTTTAATGCACAGGTACGATATTTAAACTACTTTCATATCCTGCTCTGTTTGCACACTACAGCTGGCTTTGACATTTATCTGTACTTTAATTTTAGTAACTGCACAGAACTGTTTTGGTAACGATCGTCCATGATGGAAATATGTAAAATTTTGTGTGTCTCCATCCTGTGTCCTCTTCTGCTTGTATAGGTGTTTTTTTGCTGCCTTTAGAACCAAATTTCCCCTGCGGGACAATTAAAGGATTATTCTATTCTATTCTATTCTATTCTATACATAAGTTCAGAGCAGTTATCTGGATACAAACACTTTGTGAATGCAGTTCATTTGCAGCCATCCAAAGTCTAGAGCTGATTTTTATTGTTCACAGCTGGTTTCTGTTTTTAGACACCTTTAGTTCACTAAAGTATCCTTGAAGATGATTTAACACTGGATTGATTTTCATCGCTTTTCTTTTGACCGAGCAGTAAACATCCAGTATAATCAGCCCCAAATTCATTTCAGTGATGTAAACAGAGGTCTGTACTTGAGCGCAGTAAGAGCGAGGCAGCGGACCTGGAGTCAGAAACTGGACGCATCTTTATCCTCTGGGTTTGCAGGACTGTAACATACTATGAAGTGACCACTAAGGCAAGCACGTCAAACTCATTTTATATGGTGGGCTCACTCTGAGCTTCAGGGGGCGGGACCAGTGAAACTCTGCGCTCTGTCAGTGTAAAGAAGTCTAACTGCACCCTCAGAAACCCCAAAGTGAGAAAGTTCAACTTTAGCTCATCTCAGATACATGACGGTATAATCAACACGACTCTTTGGGCTTAAACTGTAAGAAATTAATTCTTGTGAATTAAAAAAGAAACATTTTCATATTAAACACTGAAAAAACGAAACTTTTCTGTCATGTAAACGTATGTTTAACCGAGTTACTGTGGTGTAGTATGAATGATCATGGGGTAGGGCTGTTCGATATAACGATATATAAACGTCTATCGTTTGTTTCATGGTGTTGCGAAATAAACTGTTTTCATGGTTTTGATGGTGACTGTAGTGGTTATATTAATTTCTTAAAGTTCTCTCTTTCTCTTATATGTAATATAACCACTACAGACGGACAAGCGCCTGTTTTATGTGTTGTCGTTAGCAACAAGGACGATAAAACCATCGCGTGTCCGCTTGTTTATGTTGCACGTAAACCTTTCAGAATAAAGCTCAAGATCCTGTTGAGCTGGAAACATTTCAGCAACCCGAGATTCACAGAATTTACAGAAAATGTTAAATTTTTGTGATTTATCTCGTTATCGGACGATAGATGTCTTATATCGGGATATGAGATTTTGGTCATACAGCCCTATCATGGGGGAGGTCTTTATTAATAAGAAGCGCTGTAAAACATCCATTGGGTCAGACTGGAGTCAGCGGTGGCCTGATTCTGGGCCCCGGGCCTTATGTCTGACACCTCTGCATCAAGGTGTCTTGATGTTCAGACTCAAACATCCAGGTAAGTAAATCCCAAAAGGTTGATTCTGTTCATCTGTTTCATCATCATCCAAGTGACTTCTTCAGTCTGAGCTGACTTGATCAGTGGTTGTTGATCAATATTCATGATGATTTGCATATTAATGATCAATGAACTGACCTCCCAGCCCATTGTTCCTTCAGTGTTCTGGTTTCAGTCATTATGCAAATGTCCTGTTTATAAGGTTGAAACCTGCAGTCAGCTGAGACTGAAGACGTCGCCTGGATGATGATGATGATGTAAACGTGAAGATGAACAGAATCGACCTTTTGGCCTCTGCATTGGGGAAAAACTACCTGAGTTTTGAGCACTGAAGATGCCTCTCGGATGACGGGTGAAAGATCCTAATGATCAAAATATTCCAGCTGTTTTCAGTTCAAGCACTTAAAACTGCCGTGACCTGGAGGACTGAGAAGCTGCAGACCTACTGACAGAGTGAAGACACCCCAGAGGATTAAATGCAAAGCAACTTCAGATTTAGGCTTTTCTGTTTATGTAGTCCAAAGTAACTGGCAAATAAAAGCAGTGTAGCCTGCACACTGACTGAGTGAAGCAGACCTGTGAGATCTCTTTATAGCCACAAACCCAACAAGAGGCTGGAATTTAGACATTAGAATATCAGTTTAACATAATCAAAACTGTGAGTTACAAGGATTTCTGGGCTGTGAGTGTCTACATAATAACAAATCACTGCCAATCTAACAAACACTCATTTAAAATGAGGATCATTTAACACCAGTTTCACACTGGTTTAACACCAGTGATTGTCTGAGAGAAACGCGACACTCTCGTGATAAGTTGGCGTGAAAGCGAAGCCTTTCCCGACTGAAGCGCCGTAAAGCCGCTTACCTCCCGTTTCTGTGGCATGAATTTCTTCCATGCTGCTTTACAGGCTTTGCTGCTACGCGAACAATAAACTATGTGCAGACCTGTTTCTAAACATGAAGAACATTCCAACACAAAAGCGGTTCTTTTATATTTGAAGCCACAACAGTTAATCCCCTGTAGCGGGCCAGGTTTGATGTAACTGGGTTAAAGTAATACGATTATGAATTGTAGCTTGACGCACACGGACAGATTTGTCCTGCCGAGCTCACCCAGCTGTTTAAAATTCCTGTCAAATCAACGTATCCAACAAGCAGGACCAACGCTCACGCCTTCATTAGCTCCTGATCACACTGACTGTGGCTCACCTGGTACTGCGGGTAGTTGTAAAGGTTTCCATAGTAGGTGGGGTAGCGCGAAGGCTGGTAGAAATTGTAATAGGGGGTTTCCAGCAGGAGGTCAGACGGTCCCTCGGTATGAGCCCTGGCAGCGGCTGATGGGCTGGGGGACGATGCTGAGCGGGTCCCTGGACACAAAAACAAACAAATCACGATGAGACCGCGAGGATGAAGAGTAAAGTGTGTGGCTGGTTGTTTCAGCACTGTCAGGTAATTTAACATATGATGTTCAGGATGTTTTCAAACGCTCGTGTTTGTGTTTTGTTGCAGTTTTAACAAGGAAACAAGTCTCGTTACGCCCGTCTCACATTTTACTGATGCTAAAATGTAACAATTAACTTCTCTCAGCATTTAAGTTACACTTGTTCAGATCATTAAAGGAGACAGAAAGAGTTCATTTTGAAACATGCTGCCCAACAGCTCCATCTTCAGGTGACAGCTGTACTTGGTGTCAAACATACAATTGTCATTTTTCAGGATGAAGATGACCATTAAGTCATCATTACTCACTCTCGGTTGTACGTTTCTTATCAGCAAGGACACATTCTTCCCAGGCAGACCCTGATCTTTGCACAGGGAAGACACTGTGCACCACTGGAGCCAAACATGATCACATTTACTGTCCCAACTCCTGCTCCACACAGTGCTCCACTCCTTTTTATACCTCAATCTTCATCTCTACCCCCCCGTTCCCTCAAAATAAAAGGAACACACATACAAACATACAAAGTGCAAGATAAGAGCAGCCTTGATCCAAAATCACATTCAAGCGCTATCAGCGAAACACTCTTCTGTGTCAGCTTCCACGCAACCTGGAAGAAAAACTCAAGGACATATTTTCAAGTTTCCAGTGTCCTTTGTTATCACAGAGTCTCTTGTTCTCGTCTAGAAACGTGTTCAGTCCACAGGATGTTGTTCAGCCTTGGATTAGCAATAACACCAATTAACATTTTAAAAAAGCAACAACATTAATTCACTGAGGGGTAACTGGTTTATCTAGACAGGCACACAACAGAGAAGGAGGGAGTGCAGGCAGGTGGATGCTTCTCAGACCAGCACATGAACAAAGTGACTTGCAGCTGAAGTGCAGGCAGTAACACTGACCTGTGTCCAGACCTCACAGGTGAAAAGGTGTCTTTGAGAGAATTAACTGGAATTTTTTCAGACACTTTTGACACGTTAATAGCATTGTTTTTGTTTTTGTTTTTGTTTAATAACTAAAAACACTGGAGATCTCTAATAATAAGATTCATAACACAACAAAATCTGACGAGGTCCATGTAACACGAGGTTACCTGTGACAGCAGAGGTGGGGTGGCTGGTAGGTGTCGGGGACCGTCCCTCCACAGAGAACAGGCAGTCTGCTCCAACTTCATTCTTGACCATCATCTCAGAACCGGACAGAGACACTGGACTACACATCCCAAGCTCTTCTTCTTGGGCCTGCTGCCTCCTCAGGGCAACCTGGAAGGGAGGAGAGGTTTGATAAGGAACCGCGAGCATGAAACAAACATTGCCCTTATCTGCTGACTTCCCAGAACAGATTTAAACAGAGGCTCGTCTGAAAATTGTAATTACACCTGATTAGACAATAATAAGATTGTTTGTGTGCAGATAAACTGTTGATATCGCCATAAAACAAGATGATATTGAAAACACGCTCCTGGCTGCTGAGCGAGATGAAACCAGCAGCTCTTTGTTGTTTATAATTCTTCAAAAACTGTTTAACAACCGACTGGAAAAATTTATAGATAAACATAAACGACTCACTGAGAGTCAGTACGGATTCAGATCAAGCAGATCAACATCATCGGCACTATTAGATTCAATAGAATACATCTCAAATTCCATAGACAAAAAGCAATATGTGGCTGGGTTATTCAGAGACTTGACAAAAGCATTTGACTCTATAGATCAGGATATATTAATAAGAAAACTGGAACGTTATGGTGTCAGAGGGGTCGCTTTAGATTGAGTCCGGAGTCATTTAAGTGAGAGGAAGCAGTTTGTGAAAATAAATGGTGGTTGCTCCTCATGTATGCACATTGCTTGTGGTGTACCCCCCAAAATTCAACATCATTAACGACATCTGTAAAGTGTCCAAAGCATTAAAAATGGTTCTCTTTCCTGCGATACAAACATTTTTTGCTCTGGTGATGATCTGCAGAATTTATTGGAGGATATGACTAATGAAATAAGTAAAGTGAAGTTCTGGCTTGATAAAAACAAATTATCATTAAATTTGAATAAATCTAAACTTATGTTATTTGGAAATAGTAGTTTAAATACAAATGCAAAGATTCAAATAAATGGTGTTGATATTGAAAGAGTCAGTGAAAATAAATTTCTGGGGGTAATAATAGATGAAAAACTTAACTGGAGAGCTCACGTAAGATATATTCATTCCAAAGTATCACGAAGCATTGCAGTACTAAACAAGGCAAAACAGGTATTCGACAGAACATCACTTCATATTCTCTACTGTTCACTGGTTTCACCATACTTAAGCTATTGTGCAGAGGTCTGGGGCAATAACTATAAAACCACATTACATTCACTTTTTACTCTTCAAAAAAAGCAATTCGAATCATCCACAATGCAGGTTATAGGGAACATACAAACTCACTATTTTTGCAGTCTGAAATATTGAAAATTGACGATCTAGTGAAATTCCAAACAGCACAAATTCTATTCAAAGCAAAAAATAAAGAACTGCCAGGAAATATTCAGAGTATGTTTGTTTTGAAAGAAGGAAGTTATAATTTAAGGGTTTTTGTAACTTCAAAACAGGGAAGGTCCGTACTACAAGAAAAGGCTTTTGTGTTTCTGTTCATGGAGTGAAACTGTGGAACAAACTGAATATGGAATTAAAGCAACGTCCAAACACAAAACAGTTCAAAAAGAGTTATAAAAATATGATCTTGAAATTATGTGAATGTCTCTATTAAAAGATGTACAGGATATAGTATATTAGAAATCTGTTCACTATTTTTATTACAAATTATATCAGTAAGGAAGCTGACTAAATATTGAATGATAATTTATGGCAAAGGGGTGGGATCAAATAAGTGTGTACTTCTTCCCTTTCAACGTGTAAATGAATCAGAATGGTAGCAATATTGAAATGTACTGATTTTTGTATAGTATTTTTTTCTCTCTCTTATTTTCTTTTCTAAGTGTACGTGTATATTGTTTACATGTTTGAAATAAATTAACAAACAATCAATGACTGGTGTAATCAATCAGGCCATCGGCTCAGCTTTCTGTAAACTGACAGCTCTGTGCATCGATGTATCTCAGGGTCAAGAGTAAAACATGATGTTTTACCCAGTTAAAAAGACATTTTAATTCTTTATCTGCTCATTTTGTTAGTATCAGTTCACCGTAAGAGTCACTTTCAAGCAGAAATTCCAAATAACTTATTTAAACAGTTTTCACACACCTGACCGCGCTAGACCAAATTATTCATCTCTTCTTTAGAAAATGAGGAAATTATCCAGCACTACTGACTTTAAAAGCCACTGATTTCTAAATTTTGCTGCGTTTCCTGCTAAAAAAAAGTTTTCAATAGGATTAAATACAGTCTATTTAAAAAAGACAATAAACTTCAGTTATTAAAGTGTTCTTTACAGGATAGATCATTAAAAGTGAGAGCAGAGACTATGTTCTTTAATATAAATCTCATGTTAACTGTACTATTATTCTTTGCTTGTTCTGTAATATAAAACTCAATAAACAATGTTTAAAAAAAGTGAGAGCAGAATCAACAACATGGATTTAAAGAAGCTCAAAGAAAAAACAGTAGATATCAATGTGGGGGAAATACTGGAAGAACCAACAAAAATATTCTTTGCAAGAAAAAAAACATGTGGTTATTTTTAGTAACTTAATACATTTAAAATGTTATTTTACTCTTAAATTGTCACTTTAAATTACAAAGTTACAAATGAATTCACTTTGCTTTTTGTAAGTATCTTATAAATGTGAGCAGCTGCTGGAACATTTTAACCCTGAACTTTAGCTCCGTGCGGCAGCTAACTGTTAGCTCTGTACGAACTTGGCTAGCTGCTTTCTGGGTGGTTATTACTAATGAACAGACTCACCCGCAGCAAACAGGGTTTAAAAGTCCACAGACATAAATAGAAAGTCCCAAACAGCCTGTGTGGCTGTGTGTGGTCACAAAACCTTTGGCTTGGTGTTAAAAAGCAGTTTTGTTCTCAGCTGCAGCTAGCCGCGCTAACGGGCGCCTAAACCGAGTTACCTGGGCCGCCATGACTCTCTGTCTCTCCGCGATCAGTTTGCATTTGGGACACTGGCAGTCCCTCCAGTTGCAAAAGCGCTTGTGTCCCTTCAGTGGAGACACGTATCCGTGATTTCTACAGCGGGAGCACTTGGGCATCCTGGGGGATTTCTTGGCTTTGGGGGACATTGGTCCGCTGCAATCCGGTACCTGCTTACTCTGTTTGTCCTGGCTCATGGGTCCTGGCAATAAGGAGTGCTGATAACTGTTGGACCTGCCCAGAGAAGACGTGTGCACACGGACAGGTCTGCTGCTGAGCCCAAGCAGAGGCTGGCTGATAAGATATGCACTGGTGCCAGGCTGGAGGCTGTAAGGTCCCTGTCCCTCCACACCCTGCTTTTTGGTTTTTTTCCGGAAGGCCTGGGATCCAGTGGGAGGAAACAATGCGGGGGAGAGAGCTGCAAGTACAGAAGCATCATTCTGCAGGCCTCCCGTTTTTCTCTCTGCAGTCCCGAGTTAAAAATATTGACTCAAAAACACAATTTAAAATTCAATACAATTCTTCTTATGAGGTGCAGGGACCAGAAAAGTGTCCTCAGAGGCCACCTGATGGCTTTGCAGAGTGAAAAGAGGCACTCTTTGGACTTTAACTCAGTCTGTGCCAGCTTTGCAGTCTGAAGGACCAACGCGTGGGCCAAGTAGGTAACAGAATATAACCATGACTCTGTGTTATAATCTGAAGATTTAACTTAACTACGGTTCATGCCAATTATCCCCCAAATTAAATACAGGAAATTGTTCTGCCTGTCAAATTAAAATAACTATTACTATCAGTGTAATATTCTTTATAGTATCTTCCCACTGAAACATATTTATTGCAGTGTTTTTCCCACCTTGGCTGCCGGTGAATTAATTAATTGCTCAGCTTGACTGAGCTGAAACTGAGCTGACCTCCGCACCGTCAGTCAGCCCGGTGGATTTATAGACAGGGAGTGAGGTGAAGCTCAGAGGCAGCCAATTAAAATCCTTACAGCCAAACGGAGGGGGGATAAAACAAAGTTGCCAATTAAAAAGCAGCCCCGAATCACTGAGTCAAAATAAATAGCTGCTACACTTCACTGGCTCAGGTCCTAAAGTAACTGAAAGCAGGGCTGCAACACTGGGTTTAATTGCCTCTAAAGGTTATAATGACAGATTATAATGCAGTGATAAAGTCTGCAGTTTAATGCAGGTAACATCTCCATTAGTCTGAATCCAGTCCAAGCAGGCCTGTAAAACACAGCAGACCAACATGGAAAACGTATGTGCCTATCATCCACCGCTTTATAATAAATATGAATAAATGCTGCCTCTCAGCAGCTCAGAGAGAGACACTTATTTTGAAATGATCATCAGTGTAAAATGAACAGTAGAGCCAATAAAAGCCAACTATGTAATCCAGCCCCCACAATGATTTATGCTTTAAACTGAGTATACGATGCAACAAGAAGTAGGTATGAAGTTGGCTTTGAATACCTGTAGTTAGGTCTCAGACCTTCCTTTTGCAATGGTCTGTGTCCTAATAGAGGTTTGTTTGCATTGATGAAGCAGTGAAATGAAATGATGAATGGCCACGCAAATAACCTTGTCTTTATATATTTAATTTACCTGGGTGGACACAAAGAGATGTGAAAACCAATTTGTGCCACTGAAAGTGAAAGCATATAAAGAGTTTCTTTTATTTTCGACACTTTAGTCTCTGAAATGTTTCTGAAGCTTTCCGTGTGTAGCTGCTGCTTCACTGTTATTATGTATTATATTGATATTTTCCCCCGTTGATACCTTTTAGCTACAACCATGAACTCAGTCTTCAGTTTCTTTTGTACTCTCTATGCGCCAGTGTCTTTTTAATTATTTTCTTTTCATTCTTATTTTCTATGCATTTAGTTCTATTTGTGATTGCACATTAACTGAATTTTAAGGGAAAATGATGGCATATTAAACAGAATGGAAAGATATATTAGCTCTGCCACATTTAAAAGGCATGAAAGTCTTTTATCCCAGCACGGTATGTATTAAATTGTTATCAAGAAAGTTTAAATCTCAGTCAATTCACAATCACGAATCAGCTTAAAGAAGAAGTCGTCACCGTTTCCGAGAAGTCACTGAAGGCAGCATTGCCTAGCAACGGTGCCGTTTAGTTTCTCGCGCCGGGCTATCCGCGGAAACTTTAGCTAACTTTGTGTGAGACACAATGCCCAGAAAGACGGAGAGAAAAGGCAGCGACAAACGAGATGGAAACAAGAAGACACCGAAAAAGGAAAACTCCGAGTTTCCTGCAGAGAAAAGCGGGTCTGCGGACAAAGAGAAGGACCTCTACCTGACACAGATAGCGTATTTAACCGACGAGTTGGAGCGGTGAGCCGTTTAAGTTTACCGTAATGTTTAGAGTGATTGTGTGTGCAGTACAAAGCACTTTGTAATGATATCTTAAATATGTTTTATT